GGCTTGAGGACCAGAATTTCCTCCTTTATGTTCCTAGGCATGGAAAAGTAAGCATATACTTAAACATTTTTTTAAGGTTTAATACTCAAGTCCAGCCCTACTTCAGCAAAGAATTCACAGATGATATTTACAAGTCCAGTGTAATTACTGCAGGCTTGAAAAACGAGTTCTGTGGGTTACGGTACATCATTGTTTTTCTTTTTTCTTTTTTTTTAATGTTACAAAGAACAATGTGCCTTTCATTTCCTGCAGTGCTGTTAAGGTACTTGCAGCTCAAAGCAGCAAGAATACATTAAAACTAAAAAGCGTTTGGTTTGGGCATTAAACGTTTTTATTTTTTAGATAAATGTCTCTCCCTCTACAGGAATTATTCGAGCGATGAATTTGGCACACATTTGCAATCAGCTGTAATGATGAATGCTGTCTTGCTCACTTGAAATGGGAGAATTTACCAACTTCTTTAAAAAGAATGTGCTAATCTACAATTAAAGTGCTGTGCTACCAAAGTGGAGTTATCAAATCACGATACCACACGCTCGAGAGACATCAGTCCTCTGCAGAAAATGACACAGCGCTCTCCTGCTTCTCTCTGTGTGCACCTTCACATGCAGTTATTCATTTGCCAGTATGACCACATCACACACAAACATCGCCTGTGGATGTCTGACATCCATTTACTGACAGCAGGAACACAGCACTGGACCACGATTATTAACCAGCTCGTGCTACACCCTGCCTGCCTTTCTCCAGAGCTAAACTTCTGCTGGAACAGAGCAGGATTTGACTTTTAATATTCAACAAATCTCTGAAAGCTAGAGTCACAAATATCCCCACTTTGCAGACAAGAAGACTGAAAAGTTTTCCTACAAAAGTTTCAAATAATCCTACTTACAAAAAGAAAATCTATCCCACAGTTGTTTCCACAACTGAAAGAGAGAATAAAAGCCCTAGAGAGAGTCCACAGCAGTGCTGAGCTGGGAGTTCAGTTGTTCCTGATCCCCAGGCATGCAGGCACTTCACTACACCAGACTAGCCATTTTGTCATCCTCAGTTCACTGGAAACTAGTTTGTTTATAAAATACAACACCAAACCAGTGCATTGAACAAGCTTTTAAAATCAATAACCTTTTCTCTTTTTTTTTTTTTTAATTTTTTTTTTTATTGGGTGAATTGCAAAATCGCTTTGTGGTGTCAACTGCAACGAAGCTTTTACATACCATTAGGCAACTACAAAAGTGGGGAATTTTCCACACGGGTGTTCCACCCAGCTGGTCAGAAAAAAAACTCATCTGAGCGAAGTATCAGGACATTGGAACATGCCCGTGCCTTTCCAATGAAGTTTCTGGCTTCTTTCACCATCCCTCCTGCAAATTTCCTCGCTCAGTTAACAAACAGAGTTCTGGGTTTTCTTCTTCTCCCCAAGAAGCTCTTTCCCATGCTAAGGGCCCTGAGAGGCAGCAGCCCCTGCACACCATTTGACTACTTTAAAGCTACTTTTGTCAGCTTTACCCCTGGTTCCAGAACGAGACACCTGAACCTTGGACCATGCACTCACAAACGAGCCCTGTCTCGCCTGCTTATTTGCTTTTCATGACCATAATGCTGCATCTCTCTCTCTTTTTTTAAAAAAAAAATGAAATTTCTATAAATTTTTGCAGTAGTGATTGGGTAAGTGGCTGCTTGGAAACTATTCTGGCCTAATGAAGACTGAAGAAAAGGCTACAGCTGGTGGTTAAAGCCACCACTGAGAGATGTCACCATCTTCTCTGTGATGATTGTGCTCCAGAAAACACAACTGTAAAGCCCACTAGAAAAAAAAGAGTGGCTATAAAAACGTGAAGCTTTTTTTCCCATGAACTTCACTTTAATGAAGGTTAGACATACAGTCTTTTCAAAATAACACATACAATTTAGAATGATAAATTAAAATCTGTAGTAGGAGGCCTTTTTTTTTTTCAGGGCTGTATAGTTGACCCTTTTGAACCTACATTACTCAAGGTATGCAAAATATATGTGTATAATAAATAGCTCTAGAATTTATGGAGTGGAACAGAAAGGATATTAACAGGCAAGTAGAGAGGCTGTATAACCCTCACAAGGCCTTTAAAGATTTATTTTTTTAAAATGAAGGAATGCATGCATGTAAAAGGTAGTACTTAATCGATACACTTCTTTGTGCCTTCCAGAAACACGTGCAAAACGATTCCAAATCTGCCCTCAATCTGGTCATTCCCCTGTTAGAGTCGGCGGGAATAAGATTATTCACTATACTGTTTTTCTTTGATTAAAAAAAAAAAAAAAAAAAATTCCTCTCTGTGTGGGCTCATTCCCACTCTCAGTAAAATCAATTACGAGACTCCCATTGACTCCGGAGGGATTTGGATCAGGCCCTGTGGAAGTGGGTCTACAGCAAGTGTAGAACAACGCAGTTAATATGATTTATTGTGTCCGTTTCTGTGCGTGCAGTTTTTCATTTTCTGAAGCCTGCAGTTTTGCTTTCATCCTCACGTTCAGCAGATAAGAGCTGCAGATCTGTGTTGATCTACACCCTGGGTACACTGCAGGCTGGGGGCTGTGTGCTGAGAATGAGCTCAGCGCCTGCCCAGGGGGGAACAACCCCTTTAGGGCCCACAGACTGTGTGTTAGGAGGCATTTTTAAAGAAAATCTCCCACACAGGCACTGCAAAGGTGCAGAATCAGTTAGGAGGCTTCTGCTGGGGTGGTGAAAAATACCCTTTAGTAAAACTGAGAAAAGAAAAAATCCTTCTCCTGTTTATTAAAAGAAAAGTACCTTTTGCAGGTCACCAGTAAAGTTCCAAGAATTCACTATAAGCTTGTTTTACAAGGAAGACTCAGGCTTCAAATCAGAGATATTTCATTTCACTAGGCTCTTAGAGATTTTACATTATTAAACACTGACATTGCTGCTTTTTGGGTGGTTGTTGAGTAACAGGCTTCCTTAAGACTAAGAAACTGCAGGGTAAGAAGAACTGTGGCTTAATAGCTGAGAAAGAATATTATCTAAACATGAAATAATAACATGCTTGGTGCCTAATACATTCTAAATTAAAATATGATTTGATAAACATAGGCAACATATTCCCCATGAAAAAAAAAAAGCAAAAAAAAAGCCGAATTGGCAGAACAAAAATCACAGTTTAGTCAGTTCTTCTCTTAACCTTGCAATCCTTTGGCTACAAATTAGAATTTCTGTGAACAGGATTGATAAGGAAAATTAGGCACTGTCTTTCAGAAACTAGAGAAATGTTTTAAGATGGTATGTTTAGAGATAAGCAGCACAAAATCTATCAAAATATGAAACCTTTCATATTTCAATGGGAGGAAAATACAGGAACCCCCAATGCCAAAATCTTACCAGCCCAATGAGCCCTACGTTCTATGGCATATGCTGGTATTTTAAAGTTTTTTATGTACCTAGACCACTTCCTCTTCCCTTAATTCTATCTGCTGTTTAAACCCTGACCCAAATGCAGCTGGGATGTGAATGAAATCCTTCAACCTCTTTCCCACGTGCAACTGGTTTGGTTCCCAATAAAGTCCCCAAAACACACACTGAACACATACACAGCTATAGGGATTTGAGGGAAAACCAGTTTGCTGCTCTGTGAAAGGGCAATCACGGTTGTATTACCACAGGTAGAGTATTTCTACATGAGATGGATTTACATATCCCCAAAACTGTGACAGTTTAAAGACATAAAACCTTCCCAAACAAATTTGTTTCCTTGTATGCACAGTAGACCCCAGTACAGTGGATCGCCCACATGCATTTAGGTCTTATAAAAAGAAAATAAATCTGGTTGTGGATAAAAAAAGTCAAGGAAAACTATTAATCACTTTCACTTTGGGAGACATAATTTCTAAGTCCTAAATATAAGTAGTAAAACAAAACTCAGTTGCCAATGGATGGGCCAACAAAAACTGTTGAGGTCTACCTTACTTAAACACAGAAAGGAAGAGAAGTCGTTCCCTTACACACATACTTGTCCTTTCACACACAGTCCCTACAGAACTTTGCTATTATTGAATGATTTTTATTCCAGGCTGCTTCACAAAGCAGCCAGTGGTTCAGTAGAAGCTATTGCTTCTACTTTCAAACTGCCCCGTTCAAAGAATACTAGTGTTCCCAAAAGTCACAGGCCTGCTGCTGCTGCTTCCAAATAAGCTCAAGCTGCTGCCACCTGAATAAAGTATTGCAAACATACAGAGAAGAAGGAGCAACAAGCTCTGGTAGAGCCTCCCTGATCTTCTTACCCACAGTATCTACAACCTTCACAACACGCCGATGAGCAAACACAGGCAACGCCGGTAGGATCCGTCCCAGCCCCGCAGTGGGTACCTGCCTGAGCAGCTGCTATGTTTAGAGGTGTGCAGCTCTGCCCTGAAACTGCCACGTTTGGGAGCATTGCTGCTCAGTTTGGTTTAGTTTTTGTTTTGTTTTTGCAGTGGAGAATGGCTCTGCAGCAACATACTTCAAAGCGACCATTTTGTTGCGCGGGACCATCGGAGCTCCTGCACTCTAAAATGATGGCTGGCCACCTACCGAAAGTTGGGCACTTCAGCCTGTCGTGTGAGAGCATCAATAAACAAAATGAAGTTAAAAACACATAGATAAATATGAAAGCGATGAAGCACACACCCCTAGGGGGTCATGACTCACGGCCTGGGGATTGAAAGCCTTTGCTACGGAGGAAGAAGGATAAGGATTGCATACAGGAGGCTCTTTAATGGCATCTCCCTAATTAAAATTATTTTTAAAGGGAAAAAAAAAATGTCTTTCTCCAGGACTGGAGACACAAGTGCTACCTTTGATTAGTGAAATAGTAGCATTTTAACTATGAGGAGAGTTCACAACCTATCTGTAGCTATCCCATGTCAATTATTCTGAATAATATTTTTATATTAGGCATAGGAAAAAAATCTTTATAAATATGGGCTGTCTGAATATCCCAAAGCAGGAGCAGCAGGTAAAAACTTACCATTTTCTGGCTGGTCCTTAATATCAGCTTCACTTGGCTGGCTGGGACTTTCAGATTGACTTGAATCTGAAAAACATAAAATACAGCCAAAAATTACAGGGTCTGCTGTGGAAAATAGATCAGAGGCGCCAGACTTCCTCAAAAGGCTGAGAGTACAAACTAAGGACAGGAGTGTTGCACTAGGACATGATAATGCAAAAGTCCCGTGCTTAGGTAATATTTTTGCTAGGAAAAAAAAAAGGGAATCTTGTTTACAGCACTACACAGAGTGCTTGGGGGGGGAGGGTGGTATGTGTGTGTGTTGGCATAAATTAAGCTTTGAGAATCCTTCTTTTTAAAGAAGGCATATTTAAGCTACTCTCCTACATGTTTTTTTATTATGCAGCCTCTATGTTGTATACAACCCAGAGCCTTAATCCAACACATAGTAAAGTCTCAAAACGTATTTGCAAGCGGGCATATAAAGGTAACTGAGCAACACTATGAAGTCGTGGAGATTGTTGTCTACTCATTTCTGGAGCAAAATCTGCAAAACTGATACAAGAGCTGAATTTTGTCATACCTTCGCAGTGGTTGCAGTGCTAGGAGATGGCTAAAATGTAGAGTTACCCCTGATTTGCAGTGGTATAAATGAGACTAGAAACTGGATGAAGTGCTTTAGAACTTGTGTAAATAGCGGTCCTACAAACTCCCAGCTAAAACTCAATTTAAAATAATACAATGATCTATAAAAAGATATGTGTAAATATGAGCAGTTTGCGTTTTTTACACATTATTAACTCTACTTTATGTGAAGATGATTGCCCTTTGGTTAGAAAATTATTCTTAGTGGGAGCTTTAGTCAAACAGTATTTTACTTCTTCATTATTTCTATCACTATGAATTGGGAAAAAAGGTCCCTTAACCTGTGTGGAAAAACATTTTTTTTTTAAAATCCCTCAAATTACTGTTTTCACAATTCATACAAACAGAAAAAGGTTTATTCCCCCCTCCCCCTCAGATATTGTTCTGTAATTCATTGATCCCCTTAAAAAAAAGTTTTTACTGTGAAACAAAACTTCAGAAATGAAACCACCTGCTACTGCATCCAAAACACCCCGAGTCGTGGCAAACCTATTTTCTGACTTCACCTTGACTTTGCAGAGTTTAGAATTAGCTGTCTGAAATTTGACCACATTTCAGTGAGAAGTCAATGCAAGATCAAAAGGTCACGACACTTAACTGTGATTAAATTGAAAATCTTACTTCTATTGCAACAGAGTGAGAACACCACCCCTTCTTTTTCTTTGAGGTATTAATAGTGCTGGAAGAAGCAGTACTACTAGTGACCTTGGGTCAAGCAATGCTAATTTATTACTTTAAAAAGGTTCCTTGCTTTTAAGCAAATGAAGATTTTAATTACCGCAGAGCACTATAAAGAAAATGCCTATTTTAAATATTCAATTTTTTTTTTTTTTTACCTGCTGACTGTATGAATTAGGTATCATTCAGAAGCTTAGAGGACAATCTCGTATAAATTAAAATCTACAAGTAAAAAAGAGCTCACAAAATAAATTTTGATAAATTTCAGAATATAAACATTCAGAATGTTTCGAAAAGAAAGCTTCAGTCCTAATAATTCTGTTCAAAATCAACAAAATTCTAATAAAAAGCGATATGTTTCCCAGTCTGTCCAGAATCCCTTTCCTTTCTTTTGTATTTATTATTTTTAGTAATTTCTCCAATGAAGCCCAGTGAAAAAAAAATCATTCTCACTTCTGAACTTTTCTTTTAAATATTGATCTTCTGAGATATCTTTAACTGAAGTGCAAATTAGTGGCAGCAGACAGACTACCAGGTAATAGGCACAGTGCTGTTCTATCCCAGACACTAGATTTTGGCAAGAAGTTTCACGCTTGCGACACCACAAAGGCAGAAACAAAGGTAAAATATTAGGAATGTAAAATATTTAGTTAACACTCCAAGTCAACATGCAATGGATTTCATTTTAGGAGGCAGGCATGAGGCTTTTGCTTATATTTTAGCTTTTTCTTTTCCTCCAGCAAGCCATGGTTCAACAGCATTGGGGCTTTATGTTCAAAGTGGGGTCAGAGTTCCCACAAAAAAATTCTATATTTGAAAAAGTTACTGCAGACATATGGGACTCAAAGGATGTTTTGGTTTCAAAATTCTAAGCAAGGCAGCGACGCAGCGAGAGGGACGAGGGGCAGCGGCAGCAGCGGGAGCTGGGCTCGGCACTGGCAGCCCCCAGCCTGGCACCTTCGCT